TATAATTAATTGCACGGCACCACACCTCCCCCTCTCTTTTTCTCAGCTCTACTGTTAATTTCAATGCGCGTTTTAAACAGAAAAGAATAACTTTTATTTCAAAAAGCCTTTACAGCGTGATAAAACATTAAATTACATAGGTTTATGTCCAGCATCACAGGGCTAAAGCAAGGATGGAAAGTTATTTGTAATAGGGAGCTAGTCAAGAGTTATTTCGAAGTGACCGCTGATAGGAAAAGTCTCAAGATGAAAATTACACAATTTTAAAATTTAAAAAAAACAGCTGTCAATAATTCTTAGTTACTGAATGGAATTCCAGCAAAAACGTAAATAATTTAATTAAGACCTGCTGCTAAAACCCCGTCACCATGAACTTCGTAATAATATGATACAAAATGTTATTTTATGCTCTGGTGTCCCTATGATATTAATTCACAATCTGCAGCGAGGCCCACTAAAATGTCCCACAGCTGTCACAGTTTAAAGTTTTTATAAGTTAAGAAAGCAAATATTCATAAAGGAGTATGATAGAGGGTTAAGTAAGCGGCCACAAATGAATTCGCAAAATGAGGCAGATGTTAACGGAGAACTGCCTTCATCAGAAAATAATGATTACTTATGAAAAAAGGGTTTTCCATCCTCCAAAGATACTTTGATATTAAATGATATTTATTGATCGCGACAAAGATTCAAATAATTGGGATAAGATGACTAGTCTCTGATTAGGGTATTCACTAACATTAACAAATGATGATTAATGGTAAGGAGGTCGCCCATTTAGCACACAGACTTATCGACAGTACAGAATTCCACTCTGTCTTAAACCACTACGTAGTTATTTGTGTAGTCATTATTTATTACATCCTCTGACAAAACAACATAGGCCTATGCAACACACATGCAATCGATACAAATGATAACAAAACAAGCAACGTCTGAGAAGGGATTTTCTGATTCTCTGGTTTAGGGAATTCCTTATTTATTTGTGTTTCACTTAATGACGCTATCAGTCAATCAGAATACACAGCGTCGAGTGGTAAGATGATAAATGAATAATTAATTCGAAAGGAAATGGTCTAAATTAAGGCAATGTCCCGGCCTTTGCCTAGAGGGACTAGTAAAAATCACGAAAAATCTATCATGATAGTCGGATTCCGGCACGAGATGAGAACCTGAGACATCACAAATACGAAGGACTACTATTCAATCTGTCGCGACGTTCGGTAACCTAGGAGTAAATAAATATATCCAGATTAATCTGCTTTTAACAAGAAGGCAAAATGCTCTTTGCTTTATCGATTTCTTACGTGTCGAAGGTAAACTTGCCATGAAAGCACAGAGTACGCAGAAAATACCCACGGCAGCCTCGGGGCAGAGCTGTCAGCTCAACAATTTGGTCATTTTATACCCAGGAAGATAAGGGTAGGAAGTTGGACAACCCTAAGACCTGTCTTGTACAAATAATTCACTGCTACTATCGAAATTTGAACCCTGACCGTCAAACCTTTAAACAATTAAAGCACAGTGGTAACTATATATACCAAATATTTTAACATTAATTAACTGTGCGTTTTGCACACAGAGTCCTTCTCGAAGGTATCACCACCTTGTCGAAGGCAATCTGCCGGGTGAGGAGGCTTGCGTGCTCAAATGACCCTTAGGGCTATGCCGGCCTGAGCTTCGGCTCATGGTAGGGTCACCCAAGCCGGATGATGGAGGAGGACTTGTTACCCAATCCTTAACAAGTATTACTCCATCAACTTTGACCTCGCACTTACCATCTATAAAACACTCCTACGCCTAATAATAACGTACGCAGCCGCTGCATGGGGATACGAGGCTAAAACACACGTTAGCAAGCTCCAAGTTTTTTAGAACAAGTTACTAAGAATTATCACGAAACTCCCAAGGGTATCGTCAATCGAAATTTTACATGAGCAAACTGATATGGAGACGTTCCGAAACCACGTCAGGAAGCTAGCAAATAAATTTTACGTTAAAAGTCAGTTAAGTGAGAACTCCCGAATCAGGCAATTAGGTCAATATGACCCCAGTAGAAACCTCTAAAATATGTCCTAAACTTCCAAATTAATAGCCTCGGCATTTTCTAAAACACAATTCAAAATTCCGTCGTTTTTGCCAATTATCGCCCTAACGTCTTCACTCTTACTTTATCCTTAACAGAATGACGAGCGGGCATTGCCTGGGAACCTTCTAACTATAAGATGCTCTTTCTTCCCCCCTAAATCAAAGTGTCTCTCACTTCTCCCCCCACCAATTTCCTCTTTGCAAATTCTACTCTTCTGTTATCCTTTTTATCTTTCTCTCTCTCTCCCTTCAGCTTGGGAATTCAAAGGGTCAAAGGATAATTCATCACAGCATTTAATCCTGCCAGATGGATAATGATATGAGCCGAGAGTTGGACGACTGTAGTTCGATTCCCGGCAGGAATATTCGCCACCTCGTCCACACCCGTTCTGGGGCACACACAGCCTCCTGTACAATGCGTATTCACCGGGTTCTCAGTCCCTGACCACTCACTTCTATATAATGCAGAGGTTAAGAATGCATGGAGCTATACCTCCACTAATCCATACGTCTTCATGACGTGCTTCCAACTTAAGAACCAAAAACAGCTTCAAATTTACTTTATTGAACACATATTTATTTTGTTTCCAATAATTTTATTTTATTTTCAAAATGACTCGCTATTTAGATATTAAACTAAGCATTTTCTGCAGCCTTGTTACAAAGTTATTTATTAAAACTACCGAGAATCATAAAATGTATTTCCTTATATTTAATTTAAAATCAACTTGTCAATAAATGTTTAACACAAAGCTGTAATTTATGACAACCTTCATATTTTGGTATTATATCGACCTTTTGTACTATAAACCGTTTTTAAGAAAGTCGATAAAGTTCATCTGAGTTTCGAGTATCGAAAGCAACCTGACTTAATATTTACTTCACTGATATGCGCCAAACTTAAGTTCGCTCAAGATATTTCAACACAGAACACCAATACCAAATACTCAAGCACTTTTGGAGATGACACATAAGATATAATTCAATTTATTTTTCAATTTTGTGTGCTTTTGCATGCAACGCATTGAACTGTACTTTAGATTATTATTTACAAAACTTTTCATCCTTTTAACTCAATATACGAATACGTATAGATCACAATATGGGACTACAAACTGGACCAATGAAATGTACCTGAAGAAATATTTACATAAATAGAGAAGTTTTTACTGCCAGACATCATACACAGTCGATAATCTGCGAGTCAACAATCGAATTAACACGTCCGACACTTCCGGAATTACAAGCGACATTACAAATATACAACGGTCATTTGTAAAGTGTGCTTTTTGGTTATCGCCATACCATGACGTAAAATCTTACTCTGCCTATAGTCCATACAGTTTTTACATGTTCTTTTCACAAATCAAATAGAATGAACGTGTAATGGAGAGGTAGAGTGTGTCCTTTCTGACCGTTCGAATGTCGTATTTCCAAATTTATTTAACGGATTTGGAGCCTACAATGACATCTCTCAAGCGTATTTCATGCTAGCTCCTACTGAATCATTATACAGTCCAGGCAGCTTTAGGCAAGAAACTCAAATGGTCATCAAATGTCTAAAACAAATTAAACCAATTTAATTTAAATTAATTTATACAATTTTATATTGGAGTAGGCCTATGGAATTACAATTTTAAAAAGTAATCCTTGTCTATAAACAACAAATTTGTACATAAAACAAAGCTCAACACATCAATGACCGAAACCAACAATAGCAAATAAAACATTTTCAAAACATGTATAATCTCAATTCCAGTCTAACTTTCACTTGTTTTTAGCTGTTTAGTTTTGTGTTTATTTAAGAGATATGCAGATTCAACAAATGCATTTTTTATTCCTTAAACAAACACTTTAATGTCTAATTCTTTTAAAATGAAAACTGAGGGAGAACACAACTTCAGTTGAACAACAAATTAGTTTCACACATACACACGTCATAACACTAATACCAATGGATGGGGAAACGCGTTCTCCATAATGGAGTATAACGAACTATGCCATAGACGAATCTGTAAAACGAGCAGCTGGGAAATGCACGACCGAGTTTCGATCTGAGGCAGGCAGACACGTTCTTACCGGCTCTGGGGTACATCGTGTGGGTACTTGGGCTTACTTCCTCCGTGGTAACGCGGATGAAGCTTAAAGCTAACTACCCATTCTGTCTACTACAAACGCTAAGAATTAGAAGAGCTTTACATTAACTTCAACACATGTCTTCGTGGCGTAAGACTTAAGACAGGGACAATTTTTAGATTTATTTTTATTCTGAACGAGCTGTTTATGTGCGTACGCGTGTGTGTCTGTATCATTCTTAGGTTTGTTTACATAACGCCAACATAGACGAGAAGATAAATATAAATGATGAACAGATAAGGATTCGAAAGGATTCTATAAATATTCATAACTTAACGCCATCAAACCGCTAGCTAAATATAAAATTTGCGCGACAGCCATATTTTTATTTTACATTAAACAAAAAAATCTTACTATTTCGATTGCCTTACCGAATCACAGTATCCCATATGCTGGGACTCGCTTCAGCTTCAAATATTCGCATGGCTTCTATGTAAATTTTACTGCCGGTAGGAAATTATAAATTACAGTGATATTATGACTTCCAGTGGCACAATGTTCATACCAATTTTCGTGTTAGACGGGGGATACACGGAAACTAAGATACCACAAGTTTTACCCTTTAATGCGTGGTGGTAATTATATGTACCAACTGCTTTAACAAACATTTTTAATAGGTTTCGTATGATTTTTAGTGTAAACAGCAATTATTTCCTTAAACAGTTTTAACCAACTGATCTTTGTAACGATAAAGAGTTGTTTTCTTTGCGGTACGGTCTGAATTCTTAAATATTATTGAGCATTTCCGTCGTTAAATAAAGAAAGTAACTCGGTGCTATGTATAACGTCGTTATTACTAATTGGGTTACCGACATTTTGAATTATGTACAATCGATATCCGGGGGCGGTGAGTAAGACCATGTGTATTGAGGAACCTGTCCACATCCCGTCACGTGACAAGTTTTACCCTGGGCAAGGAAGCAGGCTGTTGATTTATATGCCTTTATAACCGCCACACGCCTCGTTTCGACGCTCATTAACATATCAAACAGCAGAAAAGCAACGCCGCATATGAGACGGAACTAGCATGTGTCATAAGATGGAAAAAGCACTCAGCGAGCAGGCAAAGTTTCACCAATAATACTGTAAGTAAACTATTTTGTGAAATATTGAAACGAAGAAAACAGTAAATTACGTGAAGATTTCTGTCTTCTGGGTTGTTGCGCTGTGTAGACTGGTCGATGTTAACCAACGTTTCAGAGGTCATACTGCCTCCGTCATCAGGGCGATTAGCGCAACAACCCAGAAGACAGAAATCTTCATACTCACCGCTATGAAAACCTCAAATCTTACATAGTAAATTACGTATTTAGATGTTTAGCGGCAGATCACGATGTCGAAGCATTTAAGTTTTGGAATAGTACAAGATCATGAATATTAACTAACTCTATGGGGCACAGTCCTCATTGAGAAGCTTACAGTAGCTCAGCTGGTGAAGAAACTCCATGTCTATTACGAAATCTGAATGTTCCTCGGAGGCCTTGGATCATATTCCGAACCAGACAAGAATATTAACCTCCCATCTACTCATAGGTGTCCTTAGTGTTCTCTTTCCTCCGTGTATCTTGATCCAAATTCTGTGTTTCTTTCTCATTTCTAACACAAGTTCTACGAACACGTCTACATGTAGGCACTAATTCGCACCGATAAGTACCAAGTGAGAGTAAAGGAAAAATTCATGCATTTATACGAAGAATGAAATAAATGTAACTGTTTACAAGGTCGATTCTCTCAAATTGCACGTACCTTCTTGTTCTTGTATGAATCTTTTATAATATACAGGTCTTTTGAAGGTGTATTTGAGCATTCGATTTATAACAGACCTTCGTTACAGGTTAGCTACAGTCATTCAGATTTATTTTAAAATCACGATGTCTATAACTAGAATATAATCAACCTACAGTTAGATTAAATTTCAAAGAAACGACGAACTTAAAAATAAACCACTCTCAGATTACGAAATATGTCTGTCCCAAATGTGCTTGTCCTTGCATAGTACAAGGACATACGGCTATCAATAATTCGTTACATGTTGTTTACTTTTCGGTAAAATCCATGTCTCTTCACTTGAATCAAATTAATGTAATTTAAAATAAACGATTTATATATATCTGTATTGAGCGTAGTCCTTCAGTTTGAGGGAAAAACGTAAGTTATAAATGTCTGAATGCAAAATGATCAGGAAAATATAAGAGGGATCAAGTAAGTAGGCATTTTATGGTATCAAATTAAAACAAACTATATGATTTATATGCTCATTTAGTGCCATTTTGGTAATGAAAAGAAAAATGTTAGTTAGGCGAAAGATACAGCACACAAGAGACGGGAAATTGAGGTATATTAAAGTGGATCTTAACATTTTAAAGCTCCGTGGTAACTATATGCACCATATGCTGTAACAATACATAATTGCAATTTGTATTTATGGGTTTTGTATGATTCTCAGAAACAGCGATTAATTCCCTGAGAGCGCCAACCAACTTATCTTTGCAATGGAAATATATTGTGTTTTCTTTTAGGTACGGGCTGAATTTTTAAATATTATTCAGAAAAAACTTCGTGTTTGAAAGGGTTAATGAACTAAGTTAGGCCATATAATTTGGAATAAAATAGTCTAATATCTACCCACGGACGGTCCTTCTTATTGACGTCAAGAATGTATTTCTGTAACAATAAAATATCTTAACACAGGCCTATACGACGCCAGGATGTTAGTTAACTGTATCCTGCATTTTACATGTATTACTTTAAAATTTATAAAGATATTAAAGTTTGGAGTCTATATATGAACTACCGTATGTTATGTGAGGAAAGTTGAAACCTGCATATCTTAGCTGAAGAATGTAATTAACGGTTTGTAAAACCTGAAAGTTGAAAGCGTGTGAAATTCAGTAACGACACGTTAAAGTGTAAACTGTATGTAACAAAAACAGGACAACACTGAAGTCTGGAATGCATGTACTTTCATATTTCAGAGATGAATGGCAGAGAGACACGGAAGTAAGTTTAATTTAAACTAACAATATTGAAACGTTTAAGAAAAATAGGCCTATGAGTGAAATGTGTCTTGTAAAAAGTTTCTTAAATGTGTCCTTTCCGACTTTTCATAACCCACTGTTGTGGATGTTCACTTGTTGCAGACAGAAACCCCTTGTTACCACGCTAATCGCAACACAATTCACATAGCCAGAAAATATTTTGTTGTATTTCCGTAAACAATCCCAATCCTCACATATAAAAATACCTGACGGGACTGAGGCAAACCAGGAAGATTAACGCTATAGATAATTGCTCTTAGTACCTCCACTATGATCATTGCTCACGTCAAAGTGCGTAGTTGGCGACAAGCTAGCGAAGCGGGTGGGGGAACTTCGAGCTGTTGGCGTACAAGGCGACCGACAGGGCATTGATTACCACGAGACAGGTCATTCACTCAGGCAATCAATCACAACAGACGGCAAGGAACTGCGTGGAGTCGGTTCGTGGTACCGACTAGGCTGGACCAAAGCTAGTGTCACTGTATCGTTGGCCCATGTCCGGAAAATGGAAATTGTTATCGACGGAAAAGTCTTCTAATTTGAAACTCCTCGTAGACATACACAGATACAAAAGTTTCAGAGGAACATACTGCCTCCATCTTCAGCCCAGAAGGTAAACATCGACATCTTCATCACAGTGAAACCTCAAATCTCATAATGATATTAATTATTTCAGAATGGCAACTTATCAGAGAAATAACTGACACGCCTAAGGCGATGCCTGTATTCGTGAAAAACAGGTTACGAACACGAAACGCCAGGATTGCTTTGAAGAAAGTAAGAAGTAAGTGGTTTGCACACAGATTCTACTTCGACTATGTAAGAGAATTCTTCCTGTACACTTCGCAACACGGCTACAAGTACATAGCTCAACCTAAGGCGACGCCCGTTGAAAGGTGAGTCACAGTCGAAACTAACAAGAATATCAATGTCTTCTTCTCACTCTTCATCCATTCATCTATCTCCTACTAATCTTTCAACTTTCCCTCTTCTTTAGTCTTCTCCTTCTTCATATGGGGTCCGCAGTGGCCTCTTGGTCGCTGGGACCGTGGGTTCGAATCCCACTCAAGCTATGGATGTTTGTCCGCGTTTTTCTGTGTTGTGCTGTCCTGTGTACAGGTAGAGGCCTTGCGACGGGCCGATCCCTCGTCCAAGGAGTCCTACCGAATGTCTATAGATCAGAGCCAACGAAAAGTTGGGACCCGCAGTGCTCTGGCACTTGAAGAACGGGTCGTTCCCAGTATCCCAGTACATCTTCATATTCTTCTCTTCCATCATTACATTTTCTGTTTCTTGTGGTTTTACATTTTCATTCGTCCGTTATTACTGTGTGTCATTAAGTGTCAAATTCCTTGTTTCCCGTTCCTAATTTTTTTTCCCCAATAATTTGAAGCCGAATCTCGTCTATTTGCATCGTTTAATGCAAGTGTTGTTCGGACAGGATGTTTTGGAGTGTGTTGGTGCTCACTGCCGTAGTTTCTGCAGTTCTGATAATGGGAATCGAATGGAATTTCCACCTGTCCAAATATACAATAACGAGCGTGGACACAGCGCACCACCCACTGTGGAGCGTACCGTTTCCTGCCGTCACCGTCTGCGGGTTCAACAAAGTACAGAGATCGCAAGCCATTGATTTAATCAAAGAACTGTACGTATTTATGTAAATTCAACAACAACAAAAAAAGTCTGCTTCAGTGGCTGTGTTGATTACAAGCCACGGTTTCTCATTCTGTGAGGCCGGAACTGGTCAAGGAGACATGAAGAAGATACGTTAATAATCGTACTGTCATATTTTAAAACAACATTCACATATATTTTACTAGAGTCTTTTTATCTTAACGCAATAAATTCTCGTTTGAATCTATCCCTGATAAATTATACTTAAAAACCAACTTTGTATATTTCGAAACAGTATTATAACATATGTCGTGTATTTTAAAGTTCTGAACAGATTTATAATAGGTATATTGTTTTAATACGAACTTGAATGACTTATTATACGCGGCATTAAGAAAATTTTCCCGTTCAATTAATTATTCTTAGCTACCTCAACACAACAAAGGTGTGACGTGTAAATTCGTGTTACAGAAATCTACCGCCAGGAGTAACAAAGGAAATGGTGTTCAGTGACATGAAATTCCTATTGGAACTGCTAGAGCCTAGTGAACAAAATCAGACTAAATTTTTACAACTTCAGTCAGTCCTGGATTACAACAACGTCACGGTGGAGACCGTAATGAGGCGAGTAAGTTGTAGTATCTCTACTAACAATGGGATGGTGCTTAGTCACAGGGACACCTGACACAAAGATATGGAAATATAAATTAAATTTATGCTATTTTAAAATCGAGGTCACATAATGTGATTAATTAATGTCTTTGGCTAATGCTTGTTTGGAGCTTAATATATTTTGTACTGATTCCTATCATCCAGTTACACAAGTGGCTTAATAATGATTACTTACAAGATTGTGGAAAATGCTAGTTTTATTTCCCTTCACGACATTTGCAAAAACTGCAACAACAAAAAATAAATAAACGTGTAGTAGGAAAACATGATCTGTCCGTCCGTATGTATCATATACGAAACTTTCCAGCGGATTTCTATTAAATTTGGTATTACCGAAAAATTTATAAAATAAAAGTTTCCGAAAGAATTTCATTTTGGTATGAATCGATCCAATATAACTTCCATTCTACACGAAAATTAATTGAAAATGTCAGCAAAGAATTACAATAGTGCCTAAGTTATTAATGTGTGGAGCTGTCTCCATACGCCTTTGTTTAATGTTTGATGACCTTTGAACACGTTTCGCATATTGTTCCTCTTCAAAATTGTTTGTCATTTACAGAGCAATATTCTAGAGAAAGAATAGCTTCTCTGATTCTCGCTTTTATCTTAGGTTGCGCCCGAATGTGAGGACTTTCTGATGCGATGTGGATGGAAGGGTCGTGTTCAGGAATCATGCTCTACATTGTTCAGACTACACAAGAGCTATGAAGGCTACTGTTGCTCTTTCAATTATATCGGCATCAAAGAAGAAATTCTCAAGTATGTACAGGCTTACGTTCTGTTTCAAGACTTAAATTAACTTCAGTCTTGGACCAGCGCGACCAAGGAGCCCAACAGACTAGGTTTTTTCCCCCCAAACCGGGCATCTATTCAGAATCGAAACTAAGTTCCGAAAAGTCATGGTTTAAAAAGAACGCTGACAATGGATAAATCCCAACAGAATTGTAAAAACACAGATTTCCGCCGTCAAAACATCCATAATAACATATGCCTTAATGATAATAATATTTTACTTAACAACCCCATTTTTAATGCACTCCAGTACCTTGACCCCAACCCTGACAAACCACCTTTCACCCACTAGCACCGCAGTCGGTAACCAGCCACGATCCGATACAGTCAGTATAGCTCCAATCTCTCCTAATACTGCTACGATATTACTTCTCGGGTAAGTTTACATGATTACTTTCATCTATTTTGTTTTCTATATTCAATTTTCATTAATAGTATTGAAACCTTTACTTCACAGTCCAATATACACAACATTGGCATCACTACGACATACAATCATATTAGTGACATGTGACACAACAACGGATGAAGATACAATATGAAGGATGAGAAAATGATAAGAAAAATGAAAACTAAAAATCATTAAAAAATCAGTAAAATTCAGTAATTCTGTTAAAAAGTTTATAACATAACATCTGATGATGGCACGATTGATAGCCGAAACATGTCGTAAATGTTCCACATGTAAATCGAGTACTCGATAAGGAACGAAAAATGATATTTTAATCTTTTAATTATCTTTTATTGTGATTGACGGCCAATTTTAATATATTTTTAATACTAGCCATTTCTTTGTTACCTCACCCCTTACACCGTTCCTTCCTTTCCCGTAATCATTTCGTACCTTTATCGCCTTTATAATTAATTTTAAAAGATGTCTAATTGTAGCAGCGCTTGTAAAATGGATCATAATTTCTTCTGTCACTATTACTGATGCATAAAAGCATGCTTAACCAACCTCAACATGTTTTTAAATTAGAATGTTCATTAGCTACCGTGTTCACAAAAACCCACCATTTAATCCTGTTCCAAGTCAAACGTCTCCGATCAACACCCTTACATTTCATTTATGTAAGATTTTTTTTAATATTATCATCTGATTTTCATCTAAGCCTACCAAGTGGTCTCTTCCCCTCAAGTTTTGCAGTAAACATTTAATTTATCATTTCTTTCATGCTCGCTACATGTCCAGCTCATTTCACCTTCCCTCATTTGATTAAATTAATATTATCCTGTTCGGTACAGCCAAGTTGATCAACGCCCTCCATTTTCCAGTTTATTCTTTTCTTTTAGATCCACACATTCTCCACAGTACTTTGTTTATAAACATCCTCAATAATGTTCTTTTAGGGTGAAGGACTAAGTTTTACACCCATGCCAAACAAAACAAAATTATAATTTTGTATATTTCAATCTCGAATACCGGTACCTATGTTCTACAAAAATGTATTTTCTCTGTTGCACAAATAAAACAGTCTTTCAGATGAGATAAATCAGTCTAATTACAGACTACGGGCTGGACGACAGTGGTTTGATTCTCAGCTTAGGCAGGAATATTTACTTTCGCCGGCTCTGGATTCACCCAGCATTCTCTTTACGCAGAAGTAAAGTGGCCGGCTAGCCGATAACCTTGACTTCGTACCGCGGATAATAGTGCGTGAAGCTAGATATTCACTCCTACAAACGTCTTCCCAATATTGTGCTAAGCCCAGATTAACTTTATATTTTATAACAAACCTTAGAGCCCATGTTTAATAGCTTTGATAGCATGCCAACATTACCTTGTCTCCTGTAGTGTTCTGAGATGACGAAACATCCTTTTGCCACATCATGATTTCACAATCATTTTCAAAATTCTGGAATCTTATAATGATGTCACAGTTCTTTGAGAGAAGACACAGATAATTCAGAAATGTAACGTTCCTACCACACTTTTACATATGATAATCTCGGTATTTAAAAATTGCTGATGAAACCTTGTCAGTACCATTTCACTACACAACATCGACCACGTTATATATACAACCAAAGCGTATCACTTGTTTTCCCCCGGTAAATTTTAATTTTAATACTTTATTTGACTTTAGTCAGGTGGCATGATTAGTATGATGACGCATATCCTATCACGGATTATTACCAATATGGCTACTTCACGATTTGGGAGTACTTCCTTCAACTTAACCCTACTTTCTTGTTTAAAGATTTCACAGATGTTGTCGCCCCCACCTAACTTTTGTTACAAAGCCGTGTTTTGAAAGTAACAGCAAGATGTTGATTTAACGCTGACCGTCAGTGTATGAGAAATTTAGAAACAGGCATAGGAACAAATAAATTAGTTTATAGGCAGTAATTTTGAAGAAAGGTACTCTGAACGGACAGGAAGATTTGAGGAATTCCAAGAGTGAAACGTAACAACAAATAATTTCAAGATGGTATTATAATGCCACATAATTATAAACAGTAAACAGGTTATGTAATTGCAAGCCCTGTTGTCAGTGTATTGGTATAGGTTGCATAGTTTATCAGGAAAATTAAATAATTTAATTCACGTCTCTGGCAGGCCAGGTTAGTGCAGTGGTGATGTCTGATTCTTATGAGGGAGGTATTGGTTGGAACCCGGGTAGGATATTACATGCGAATGCTCATGCATACCTTGTCATTTTCTCCCACATATGTCACAAATTATCATTCATGGTGCAACAACCCAGAAGACTGTAATCTTCATACATGCTACCATGAGAACCTGAAATCTCACCTCCTAGCACATTTGACTGCTCTTATTTGAGCAGTTCAGCAAAGAACATACTCATAAAATATGTGTAGTTCTACATCTTTCTACTTTTATTTGCACTAATCATTGACATAGTTAGTGATCAGATTTATCAATCACAAATCTTGAGATCAATCTTTTTTGTTGCATATGGAAACCAGACGTGAAATGCAAAATCAGTTTTTCAAAGACCACTAAAAAGATTAATATTCAACCTGGCATTCATTTGTTCTATCTTACACCTAAATGTATCGATGCTCTTTCAATTATATTTTGGATTGTGTACGTTCCATTCAAAAGTATCCACTGCTGTAAATAAATATGACTGATTCCTATATAAATTTACTTCTGACAGGTTCAAATTTGAACATGAGCGCGTTATACCCCAAAAGACAACGACGAGTGGCTATCGAATGGGCCTTACAGTCCTGATACGCACCAAGCCTGAAGAGTATTATGCCACAAATCTTGCATCATATGGAGTAAAGGTAAGAAATTTAATCAAAATAAACATTTGTTTGTTATTTTATTTTCTTTGAAAGTTTATGTATGCTGAAAAAAAAAATTATGTAAAGGAACAAACATGTCATTAATTTTAGTTTCAAATAAAGTTTTAGACCCCCATTTCAGTAAATGTAAATAATATAGGTTGCACGACCTATGTTCAATTCCTGCCGAGGTTTAGATTTAGGATTTATAACCACTTTCAATAACTGTATTGGCAAAACCTAAAATTTTACATTTGAATAAGCTTCTGTATTTCCTATCACTAGGTACTGGTTCATGACCCATATGATTATCCAGATGTAAATACAGTGAAGAAGATGGTCTCCTTGAGATCAGATGTATTTTTCTCCATTCCACCATGGGTCACATATTCAACACCAGAAGTGCGCAACATTCCCATAAAGAACCGTGGCTTGAGAGGATGTGTTTTCCCAGATGAGGTGGACATGCGCAAGATGAAGCAATATTCCTACAACAACTGTATCACCGAGTGTCGTGAGAATTACACCATTCAAATATGTGGATGTACTCCATTTTATTATCCTAACAACGGTACCACTAATTACATAACAACATACTGTAGTATTATTCTGCATAGAATGGGGACTTGTTACTCTTCCGAATATAAATTTCTGAAACAGTTTATCAAATTTCTCATACATTATTTGAAACATTAATGCATGACGTGAGCTCTGTAAATTTAATAAACCCAGAGGTACTCAATCAAAATATAATTATGATCAGTGGCAGGGGCGTAGTCTCAAAAACCAAAGTGTCACAGGTGACACGGCATGCAGTCGCAGCTTGAAACAGGCATAAATCATAACATGAGACATTTCTCGCTGTTAATAGCATTACACTTTTAAATGCAGAATGAAAAATAAACCCACAAAGCAAAAATCGTTCAGTAGAATTTAGGGTTTTTATGGCAGCGAGTCCAAAGATGGCTGTCTTCCAGGTCATCAGAGCGAAAGCCATCGCCCTGATGACAGAGGCAGTATGACCTCTGAAACGTTGGTTAACATCGATCAGTCTACACAGCCCAACAACCCAAAAGACAGAAATCTTCATAAACTAATGGCTTGTGCCAAGGCTGTGAAGATGTGAAATAAATTCAAATAATTTATTGCAATTACAATGATGAAAACAGTTCGTTCCATCAGAGCAGGAAGAACAATATTAATTTTATGCTCGTGTTTTCAGGTGATTACAGGATATGTAATTTAACTGACATCCCTTGCTTGGCTAAGAACAAACGTAAGTCATACTTCGATATTACCTATCGCCTCTTTGACGAGTATACTGATTATCAACTTGCTACACTTTATACACTACAAGGAGATTCAGTCTTATGAATTCATGAAGTCTAAAACCATGGAAGTAATCTCAGAAATTTATGAACATGGTGGGAATAATGGCCTGAAATCATAAGTAACAACCAGAGGATATCAACTGCACATCAAATGTGTCAATTTTAGAATTTTCAGTATTAAGATCTTAAAACGTTACATTTAATTTTGTTTACAAATTATGTATTACATAACAAAATATATTCTAAAACAACCTTCTAAGCTTCAATCTTTGTACAAACATAACAAAAATGCATATTTAATCATGAAACTAAACTACGTGTATTATTTTCCTAATATATTTTGCATTTTTTGCTAAGATAAAATTTGGCAAACTGAAGAAAAGAGTTTTGTTGTTGTCAGCATGAAATTTATATCTGCACAGGAGAGCAACCCATCATGAATCAAACAGCTCTAGAAATTGATGGCCAGTCCACACATTTAACTTTTTGAAGTACAGTCGTCACTTATACGTCACATATTTAAATATTCAATACTTTTGCATTCTAGCAACAGCGCGTTTATTTCTTTCGTGTACGAGTATCACAATAAATTATTCTTTCTATAAACAGCACTTGCCAATTTACCTTCTTAACAGGGATGCACCATGTTTTCTTTAAGGTAGGAACTTAAATTTTCAAACATTATTTTGATGAACTTTATGCTTCAAAGGATTAAGCCGGCATCCAGATGCGTCACTAAATTGTATTTAATGAAATTAAATCTTACACGTAATTTTAATATTTTAGGCAAACTGGAGATAATGAATCCAGGGCAGAAAGATTTCAGGAAAGAAAATGAACCTTTCTCTTATCCTTGCAACTGCCTCCCCGACTGTCTGAATTATTACTACCCCATAGAATCTTCAGAAAGCGTACTTGCAGCTGTTACAGTCAACAATAAGGACTGGATATAGTAAGTAACAGCTAATTTTGGTTACAATTCATGTTGTGAGACTTCAGGTTCTCATGGCAATAAGTATGAAGATGACCGCCTTCTGGGATGTTGCACTTTATAGTCAGGTACAAACTGACTGATGTTTCAAAGGTCCTGATGATGGAGGGCAGTAACCACTTCTGAAACATTGGTCTGTTTCTACACTAGACTACATGGTGCAACATCCCAGAAGACACTAATTTTTATATTATTCCAGCTTTAACCATAGTAGGTAAAACAGGTTGGTTATTGGTTATTTAACGATGTTTTTTCAACAGAATCGGTCATTAGTCTAGAATACATGACATGATTGTGAATGAGGTATTAGGAAGGATGTAGAAATTAAAAGTTTTAGTTTGTTTTAAGTTATTATCCTAGTACTGGTATTAGACGCCAAGTTTTGATAAATCATCAAAACTCCTATTTTGTAAAAGAACAAAATGGAAAACATCGGAGAAGTAAATCACTGTTTTGTGACTAATAACATAAGAACATTTTTTACATCAATAAACTAACATCATCCATTCAAGAGATTCATTGAAGAGTCTGACTACCATCTTGGTAAAATTGCAAGACAGATATGCCCTATAAATTACTCAATAACTGAATCGTTGTTCTCTTACAACTGATAAATGTTATCGAAAAGGCAGTTACTACGCTGGCATCATAATCTTCAAAAGTCCACCACCTGATCTCAGAACTAAAGTAACCTCCTGATTATCCAGGGGCAGATTAACCTGGTTTAAACAAAAATTAAATCCCATATCTCAAATGATGAAAGTTAAAATGTAATAGTGATCACATACTTGCAACACACAAAATATTGAAATATGTGGCATTATTATATATTCCGTCTTCTTTATGTAGCAAGGGATGCTGAATAGAGGTGAAGAACATAAGCAGCCAATAAATAATAAGAAGGTTCAGACCAGTGGTCCCCAACCTTTTTGTGCCTACAGGCACATTTGAGAGTTTATGAGATCGTGGCGGGCACCAACCAACTAACAAAGCCAAATTTTCTTTTCTCTGGACAAATAAGTTATGGACACCAAATAATACGCAAAACAACACAATGTTTAATGATACAAGAAACCACGCAATCAAAAATACGTAGTTTTATAAGTACAATTATTATTACTCAAGTGAGAAGTTAGTGTGATGTTTGGCGCTGCATTTCATCGGTCAGTTTTTCAAATTTGGGAGTGTAGGATGATGTTGCTGCCCGTAAACAATCGTCAAGTTGGGCGTCAGTAAGTCGAGATCTGCGCTTTGATTTTGTAATGTTCACGGTTGAACGGCCTTCATTATTCAGCATAACCTCTTTCCGTAACAACACAGGCACCCAAAAAGGCCTTGGCGGATGCCATGGCGCCGCGTTGGGGACCACTGGTCCAGACTGTACGAACAGAATTTTGTAATATGCGTGAGATTACCAAAACTATATTACACCATTATTCTTATGAAATTGAAAGGTGAATAATGTTCTATGTCACGTGCACGAGAGGCATAAATCCTACAATTTAACCCTTATCCTAATGTATGCTGCAGATGTTATACATAGTTCGTTTCTATGTTCCAGTGGCAGTGGCATAAAAACAGAAAATAACAGCGTCTTCAACGTGTATTTTAGCAATTTTTTGGTAACACGTTACCGAAGAGATGTAATTTACAGCTGGAAGGGACTACTTGGTGAGTTACAAAATATGTATGCACATCATTTTTGTCACTATATAGTGTGGTATTGCAATATATACTTTTATATTTCTGGTAAACCTGATTACGTTATGTTCGAAAAATAAATTTCCTGTTGTTTCAGTGGCTTACCTTTGTTGCAAAAAATATTTTTTTGTGACCTGTGGTACATCTAATATAAATTACAAAATAATAAATATGACTAATTAAAAATTCAATATAAAATAATTTAAATAACTGTAGTAAATTTTGAGTTACTCTTTTGTAATGAATCACAAGATCGTGAAGAAATAAGTAAGGTTTAAAACAAAATCTACTGAAAATGATACTACAACAGAATGTGCTACTGCGCAAATCTCGAGGGGAGCTACGTGTAGATTTGAACTGAACATTTGGGGTTCCAAAACAGAATTTCTTGACCAGATGAATAAGTATCAACTGTGATTATGTTGAGTCGCACCTCCTAGACTTTTACCTAGACGCCTTTCCTAAGTTTTTCCGGTATTATCAAAATGACAATGACGGTTTAACTTTTCCCAGCATCTCTGGGTGGCCTGCTCAGTCTGTTCATTGGCTTCAGTCTTATCGGAGGAGTCGAACTTCTGTACTTCTTTACATTCCGCCTGTACTACAAGATTCGTTCTCGTGCAGCTGAACATATGCTTCTGTCACAACTACACATGAGAAGGGATCAGAATATCGGCACGCATGACACCTTGCAACCTAATTTCCCCATCTCTACACAGCGTGTTAGTACGATCCAGTATGGCAACTGGAGAAACAGAAACATGTATGACATAGCAGAGGTTCCGTAATATCCATCCCAAGCGGCAATATACACACTGTACTGTCTACCGAGGCTATGAAACATCAGACAATATTCCACGTGTTATTAATTTATAAACTAGAAAGCATGTAATTTTTCTGATGAAATTATAATTCACGAGATCTTTTTCTCATTCTTTGGTAACAACACTATGTTGTGGTTTTCTTTCACGTGTCTCATAAAATCCTTCCAGAAGAAAAAAAATGGTGAATTTTATAATGCAAGTGTACGAGCTTTCCTATTAGCCCCACCAATCACAATGTGAAATACGTCATACATTTTCTGAAACACCAGCAAACCAATCCACCACATCATATCATCACTCTAAAACCAAAATTAGTTGTGAACCATGAAAAAGCCTAAAAAATGTCATTTAATTAATGTCTTCTAAGTATAAGAAAAATTAAAGAAAACATTTGAATAAAGTAAGTGTGCTGATCAATCAATTCTGTGTATCCAACATATCCACTATTTTTGAATCTATAAGCATTTCTCCTCTACCGCAGGGATCACAAACCCTTTCTGGGTGATGGGCAACTGTGCAGAGCTTATAATTTATAGTGGGCACCATACGAATCTAACGAAAAAAATGTGAACTCAAATAATTAGATTATGACGGTATTCTGATAATAAATTGGTGAATATTAGCTAATGTACAGACGAGTAACATGTACATCTTCATTAACAGTAAAATTAAAAAGTAAAGTTTGTCCGGCTACGTGCCATACAAGCTCTTGGGGTCTTTCTTGACCTCGGCACTAGATGGGGTGAGTGGTCAGCATCACACCCTGGCCGTGCTTTACCCCTGGGAAAGGACCCCCATACCCATTGGACAGGAGGCTGGGTGGGCCCCAGAGCCGGTCTGGACGCAGAGGCTTGAGGAAAAATCCTCTGCCCCATCGGGGATCGAACCCCGGTCGTCCATCCCGTAGCTAGTCACTATACTGACTGAGCTATCCTGGTTCATAACAGTAAAATTATTACAAAAATAAGACAAGTGAAAAACATGTTTTCACTCTCCATACATCTGATGATTCAAAATTAACTTGTAGGGAGGCACTCAAGGTCATTATAAGAGCCTGGTGAAATCACCAACACACGTAAGGTACGTAATATTTATATTTTGCACAATAATTTTCTGGCTCTGGTTACAAATGTACTCCATACAACAAAATATATATGGAAACAAGTCTTGGCTTAATTAACGACGCAAGGTCTTCTGGGCCATGATGCCATATGGTATTGTAGGTTGTTACCAACAATTAATATGAAGAATTTGAAGTTTTCACGGCAGTGAGTCTGAAGATGGCCGTCTTCTGGGTTCATGCGCCGTGTGGTCTGACAGAAGTTTACTGACATTTGCCTCGACAGAATCGTGAAGACCATGAAAAACCTTAGAATGATTGGCATCCAAATATCTCCCAAACAAGAAGCAAGAGTTATAACCACTCAGATGTGACATTCAGCGTAAGTTTATAAATTTGACTTCATTATAACCAAGCTCGCCACCACGACAAAGTATAAGGGAGTGAACTTAAGAACCCACGCACTTCTAATCTGAGCATTAGATGCAGTTAAATGGTCAACTTCCTGCACCAGAATTTTACTCCTATGGAAAAAACACCTGGTACCCATCAGATAATGGTGGACAGGCGCCACGGTTGGTCTGATATATATATCATCTTTTAAACATACAGTGTGAAGTTTTCATTGAAGGTAGTTGCGGTGTTTGTTGAATCCACTCCGCCAGACAGTATCTTTCAGGTACGGTAGCGCTGGACCAGTCAGCAGGCTCTCAATAACATCTCGGAAGCCCAACTGGCTAGCCACGCGATATTTAATTTCGACGTCTGATATTCCCAACACAAATTTCTTCATCTGCTGAGCCATCTCCTGGGTAACATTTGCTTCCAACTGAAATCTAATTGAGAAATATAACATAAAAAAACTAGCAACTGTGCTGCGTCCTTTGTGGCGTTCAACGTGCTGCTCCTCCTAACAGTGATAAGATATTGTAATTAAAGGATAAGGTTTGATTTTATCAGAATATATTAATAAACTTATTCCTTATGCACTTACAAATTCCAAAAAAAAAGAATTAATAAACCTGACTCGTGAGGACTTTCTAAAAACTGTTTTTCATATCCCAACAAAATATGTAAAAACACATTCGGCAGATTTTACTCTGATAAAAATCTTGCAATGTGTCTTCTCTCTCTCTCCCCCCCCCCCCAACTCACTTGGACAGAAGTTGCCACCAATGGCATAAAGACTGACCTTCTAGCCACATCTTCTACTAACGCTGAAGTAAGAGGCATGTTAAACATGAAGTCTGTTAGATACGCTGCGTCTCCCTGAACAATGCAGTGCTGGTAAAGGGTGGCCCCCCAGTCGACGGGATGGCTGTATGCCCGAGTCATAATACAGGCCTGCGGAAAACTATAAAGAAATAATACAAACTGTCAGCGTACTTATCAACACAAAGATGCTTAAAATGCTAATAATTTTAATTTGTTTGGCAAGAATATTCCAGATTACAATTAAATACTAACTCAAAGAAGCAAAATCATTATTCAGAAGCTAATAATTCTACTCATAAGTTTCATCCTTTCTTCACAACACACCACCACTGGTCTCTTTCCTGAGCCAGTTTAATCTACTCACACCCTATTCCTTTAAGATCCATTTAAATGCTATCCTCCCATTTGTGCCTACGTCTCCAAAATGATTTCTTCCCTTCAGATTTTATTATTAAAATCTTGTATGCATTTCTCAACATTTCCATGCATGCTGTACGCTCTAACCATCTCATCCTCCTTAATTTGATCACACCTATAATAATTATTAAAGAGACAAATTATCAAGCTCCTCATCATATGGTTTTCTCCCGACTCATTACTTCCTTCCCCTTAGTAATTACACACTGTACAACACACCTCAATTTGTGTGTGACCATATACGCAACTTGGGCAGAATCCAGTTCTAGAAGACAGTCTGCCCCCTGACCAAGAGGTAGAGAATTGATAAGAGATAATTGTAAAGCAACCAATTCTGCGTGATGTGCTGCAGTCATGGCCCTAGTCAGTTTGTTAGTCTGTAACCAGAACATACAAAACACTTACGTCAAAGATAATATACACATTAGCCTTAGCTGTGAAACACTGCCTCTTATTCTAAAGAAGAAACACAAATTTACAAATTAAGTAAGATTTGAGGTTCTCACAGTAGTTAGTGAGTATGAAGATGGCTGCATTCTGGGCTGTAGTTCCAAGTTGTATCCATGTGCCTGCAGCGCTGCTCTGACAATGGAGGCAGCAAACACTTCCGAAATGGTGGTAAACTTCTAAACTTTAATCACTTACACCCTATTCCTTTAAGATCCATTTTAATGTTATCTTCACATTTATACCTAATATTGTAGTTCAGGTGCCACCATAGGAGAAAAATATGTATTCAAATTGTGCTCTTTATGAGGAATTAGCATAAAAAACACATTTTTCTTACTTTCAACTGTGACTACATTCTCTGATACAGGAGTTTCTTTGTTGAAAGGCAGTTTATAACAATATTATGTACAAATATAAATACCTCTGGTTTTGTGAAAGTTGGTATGAAACTGTTAATACGGAAACAACAGTAACTAAGAACGCCGTACAATATATATTGTCACATATACATGAATTTACATTTGTAATGTGGCCTATATAAGTTATGACAAAATTACTTTTATCAAATAGACAGAATGCACACATCAAAATGTAATTTAGGCTTTTGTTTATAAATATACTGATTAAGAATTTCTGCATCTGAGCCATTTGGCTCATCAATATCTGCGCAGCTCAGTTCCTCTGCCTGCCACCTCCCACCCCAAATGAACAGAGTACATAAGGTGAGGGAGCAAAATTTTTAAGCTCTCTGAACAAAAATAAACCTTCTTGAAAACAACACAACCTTTTAAGAAAGTTAACAACAGAAATAAATCTTATAAAAAGTTAATATGCCTTTGAGGAAGTTTCATGACACACTTTTCATTTTTTTCTGTGATTTATGAAAAACAGGTGCTGATATGATGTACCAATACCTACCACAAGGAGAAACACCTAATAAGAAGTTATCAATTGGGTGAAATGCAGAGACTTCCACAAACAATGTCTTACCTGCAGGAAGTATTCAGATGCATGCATAAAGTTGACCATTGCCGTATTAAGGCAGAGTTTCGTGTCCTCTGTATTGGTAAGCAACACAGGAGCAGTTGCCGTTTGCTGTCCCATCACTGCCAGCAAAGTGTGTACTCTAGCACATCCCTCACTTTCCCACAGATCTGCAACTTCACTGAACAACGAAAAGTGAAGAGAAACGAGCCGGAATAGCTCTCGGTCCTCGGGGCAGTGCTGCTTCAGAAAATCTAGCACGGCCAGCTTCAGATTTGGAACCTAAAATCCACATTATTAGCAGCAACACACATATTATTTAAAGAGATAAAACTGTCCCTACACCCAAACTCCATACCATGAAAGCAAACAGAACCACTGCACAAACAGTAAATTTACTGTTGTAATAAATGGTACTGATTTACTGAGTAGAGGTTACTTTCATAATCTTCTTCTTCTATGGCTCTCCAGTCCGTATTCGGTCCATGGCCTCCTCAATTCTCCTCTTCCATTCGGTCCTCTGTTGGGTCCGTCTGTCCGAGGCTTTGATTGAGGTTTCGAAACATCTTCCTTTTTACGGTGCAAGGTGCAGGTGAGCTGGTTCTATGTCAGGCTTACCTTATCTAATCCTTTTCCAAGAAGAAATTCAAACTGTTCATTATCTTTCAACATTTGAAAAATGTAGTTCATTTCTGTATATCTTCCAATTCCAGTCAACAAACGAACCTGTATAAGGGATAAAACAAATACAGTAAGCAGGTGAGCTGGTTCTATGTCAGTGCTTCAACATGAAAATAAAATATGGTTAATGCCAATGTTGTCACCATTAGAGCCCAGTCCTGCCTCTGCAGTAGATTATTGGTGAGTATGTGTGCTCGATGCAGAACAGCTACAATTCCTTCCATATTCAAAGCTGTTGTGTAGCAATCATGGGCACGGATCAGTATCTCCACAACTGCAAAATTCACAAAAAGTAATGCCAACATACTGCAAAGTTGCAACAGTAACAATAACAGTAAGTAACCAACCATGTTATTAAAGTAAAGCTGTCCCACTATATCAAGAGTGTCTGTTTCCTATATCTCAAACCAATTCCATGCATACAACCTACTCATCACCCTGATGATGGTGGCAGTAAGGACCTCTGAAATGGTGGTAAACTTCTACTAGACTACATACCACTACAATCCAGAATACAGCAATCTTCAGATCTTACCTTCCTTATTTGCCTCCAGCTGTGAGGCACCAATTTGAGTTGCCTCACACAACAGATTTGTACCAAGTCCAGACAAGTCATCACAAAGCTCCAAAACAAGATGACAGTTTAGATCCAGATCACAGTCCCACAGTGTGACTCCAGAGAACACGTTACTCTCACCTATGCAACACACATTCATAAAAAAACAGTATTACACATGTACGATAAGAATAAAGACCAGACTAGATGGTGCAAAATCCCAGAAGACAGCAATTATCAAACCCGTCACCCAAGATCTCAAAGTCTTCATGGAAAATTTCTTAAAATACCGTACCTTGTACATGATTACTGACAGCTGCAACAATTTCTTGACAAAGAAATCTTGACACTTCTTCACTGTTCATCTGAGCTGCCAACATAAGGTCACTAGCCACAACAAACTTATTGCAACAGTCATTGGCAAGGGAAGTGTGTAATAACCTCAAAGGATCTTCCAACTTCAAGATTTCCTAAAACATTTAATTCAAGCCACTAAACAAAAGAGAATCTACACAGTAAATGCTTTATGTTTCCTGCTTACCTTACTAACCATAATGTTCATTCGTTCATTACAGACAAAAACCTGTCGTCTCAAATTCTGGTTCACCACACATATGACACAGAATAAACTTAATACCATATTTTACAGAAGTCTGTTAAGTAGTTTTATACATTGAAGATTTCTGTCTTCTGGGTTGTTGCGCTGTGTAGTCTGGTCGATGTTAACCAACGTTTCAGAGGTCATTCCGCCTCCATCAGGCAGTATGACCTCTGAAACGTTGGTTAACATCTGCCAGACTACACAGTGCAACAATCCAGAAGACAGAAATCTTCGTACTCACTGCTGTGAAAACCTCAAATCTTACATTTATATAAATTCATGTAAGGTTCAGATAAAATGCGTAACTACAGAATGGATGATAATGGTAAGGGTCAGTTGTCCTGTGCTTAATTAAGCACTACATTATGAAGATATATGAGGAGTGAAGGCACAGCTCCATACATTCTTAACCTAGGCACTAGATAGAGGTGAGTGAACATCTCAACATTACTACCCCTACATCGAATGAGCTGCTGGTACACATTGGATAGGAGGCTGGGTGGGCCCTGAGGTCGGTCTGTTACGAGTCAATAAACATGATCAACTGAAAATGTAGGACTTATTAACATGAATAAATAAAAGAAAATATCTCAAATAATACCTGATAAGGCATGTCCAAGTTCATGGCGACACGGAAGCAACAGACAAGTCGACTGCCTAACTTTCTCCCATGTTGCAGATGTTCAACAAGTTTTTCCAGAACTGACAGCGTGTCTTGCTTATCTCGGACATTATCATCTACATAGTCTGAGCTGATGCTTTGGTTCAATAGACTGTGTGATGACCCAGGACTATTAACTGAGAAGAAACAACAGTCATTAAAAGTCAACAAGAAGTATTACATAAATTAACTATATCATAACTTCATACTGTAAAAGTGAAATATGAATAACCTCAGACCTCAGGTCTGAGTCTAGCAAAATCAGGGGCCCAAACAGCTAGGGTTTCTGTCCAAATGTTTTACCTGAAAACAGAAGATCCAGCTTCCATATTGTTTTAATTTTATTGAAATACAGACAATGGACAAAGTCCAAAATACAAATTTTACAGATTATAAAATATTACTCAGCAACCAACATCTAAATCTAGATCAAACAGATTCACTTACTTCCACTTGATGACACAGACGTTAGCCTTACTGATTTCAAAGTTCTTCGTTTGTAGGTGCTGCTGGATGTACTTGCTGGTTCTGACAGTAACATCCTGTGTTCTGCACTCATTTGGTATGGAGTGATCTCTCCCTCAGCCAGACTCATACATGTCCACAGGAGTTGTAAATCCTAAATCAAAGAAATTTTCATCATACAATCCTGTTCTATGATTGGTTATCAGTTGCCCTCTATTGCTCTCTTACATTCACTGGCAAACATGTCAAACAATGTTTTAGTTATATCACACTGCCAGTGCCAAACACCTTCACTGACATAAATATACTTGCTCTTATCTCCTAGAGATGTCATTCAAATGCATTCAAAATTTCGCAGATAATGAAGAAAGCTTTGATGGATCAATTTATGTACTTACAAGTGATATTCTCCCATAAAACAAATCTCTGTTTTACTGTAAACATGTGGTTTCCTCATATGTGTAATGGCGACTGATGTGAAGTGTGGAAAAGCAAAATATTTACATGGAAATAAATAACTATACAAGATATCACAGTAGAATTGAAGGCAACCTAAAAATGTAATGCAAATAACAGTTACCAAGATATTTAAGTGTTTTATACTCATGTTAAACACTCAAAAATGGCTCCACAAAGGATTTAAATCACCAACAGGTCACATACTTAAAGAGCAGCATGCAGTTCATAAGCTGCCAGTTGCATACCCCTCGTCTAAGGTTTTTTAATTACACACAATGTCTGTGAGTTTCCTCTGCTTCAGTCTTCAGATTACTGATTGTCATTATACTGAGAGATATTTTGTTTATATTTTTTGTACAACAGACCACTAGAATGACTGTGAAGGTTAGCATACAAGTTTAGTTAATTTATGGGTTCCTGGTTCTATCCCAATTGCTGCCACTTATCAAAAATAAAAACAGTAACAACATGACAATATAATAACAATGTCCTAAACATGGGAGTACAGGCAGATCATGAATATTAAATATACAACATGGTGTCAGACACATCTGTAGTGTAACATGATACCTGATTACGATGGTTGAACAAAGCTTCCATTCTGCTTGCAGTACTTATATCTGCTTGATCCAGCAACCTACCAATCAACATATCAAGGCGAGCAATTTCTTGCTCTTCAGCCAGTGTTTCACGAGGTATTCTGGAAACTTTCTGGAGATCTTTTTTCAAACTACAGAGCAATTTAGATGTAGTATTACTAGTAGTGAGATTCTGCAGCACAGTCTCCTGTAAAGAACAATTATTTTTACTGTAACTCAGAGTGTGAGGCTGAGGAACTTCCTTCATAAAACTCTTTGTATTTGCTGTTACCTCCAGTTCTGTATCCACTTGTAATAAACATTTCCACATTTCCATTTCCACATGGTCTTCTTCAAAATTTGTAACTGATGAATCATCATTGTCAGAGTCTTCACATTCCTGGATCCTTTTCAGCCATGTTAAAGCCATTTTCAAAACATGATACCTTAAAAATGTATTCAGACATTCAGATCACTATAAATGCTATAATTTTTTTTAAACAAAAGGTAGCTATTAAGGACTGCAGACATAATGGCAAAACTGCAGACTTCACCAATAACAGTCCTTACAAAACACTAAAGAAAAAACTGGAAATAATCACTGAAAAAATGTATCATGCAGAAGTTACAGAACTTGAGACAAATATATTACGTAATTCAACACAAAGAATAATTTTTAAGAACCTAATAAAATATTATTTGAGCATAAAAATATTGCTCCTTCTTTTCTGTTCTTACTGTGCTATAATTAAATATTATACCCAATTATATCAAGCACCTCTCTTTATTTGATGACACCTTCTTTGAGTGTTCCTTGAAGAAATCAGCAGCATGTTTAGGACTGACTCCATTACCACAAAATGCTTCATGACATCTGTACCAAAACGCTGTACATTCACTTTCTGATTGGTTCTTCAACACATGAAGATTTTTAAATTCATGCGACCACTGTAACACACCAAGCACATAGCAGCTGTAACTATGTGACTGTCCACACAGTCATATTTCTAAAAAACAAAAATTTAAAACATCTATGTCTAGGTCTTCCACCAAAGTCAGAATTTCACAGAACAGGTAAATATATTATGGTTTTATTTATACAAGTTGAACATCAAATTCTCCTTTATGGAATTAATTTTTATATAAACACATTTTAAAAAATTAATATTATAGGTAACAAAATTTCTTCTATGATGGAAATATGCTAGACCAAACACATGCCAAGAAAAATCTCAAAACCTTAGTCAACAGACCTTACCCATTGAATAAATTATTGTTCAATTATGAGAAAAACATGACTGCATCATTGAAATCTTACACTTTTTGTTGTTCTTTTTATTATATACTGCATATTTGTTTTTATTAGTGGTGTGCATTTGAAATTGTTCTCAAAACATTGGCAGAAGATATGGTCTGTTCAACATTCAGCTACCTGATGCAGCTTGTAGCCCGAGAATCTTTCATCAAATTAATATCAGCTTATTATAATAAATGAATAAATAGATATGTATATATGTACTATATTTATTTATTAGTGATTTATTTAATGATGATGTCATGTCAGTAGGTTAGACTATATAGTACTGAACGCGTAGCATATATTTACCTTTGTTTATCATTGTACTGTCTTTGGTGAAATTATCTCTACTTCATTGAAATTAATGAAAATCCATTTTAATTTAACATTCACCTGACAAATGACTTCCAACAAACATATCCTTTTTATACAACAAACAATGACTTGGCATGCATGACACACTAACCTGAGCAATCATTACAGAATCTTTAGGTAGTCCAACAAGAGACACAAAATCAAGACCCTGCTGGTATCTGCCATTTTCCACCAGCTGGTCTACGCAGTGCTTCAATTCCGCTTGGTATTCAGTGCAACCCTTGTCATGACACAGGGCAACCCAATCTGCAAGTACTCCAGTACCTTCCAGACACTCCGCCAACTGAGCCAGGAGTTTGAAGTCACAAGCACTCACTGGTCACATGTAATAAGTAACGTATGTGCTATAATACTAATGAGTCTGTTACAAGATAATTTAAATGATATATATTCAATATGAAACATGTAGATGGACAGACAAACGGATGGACACAACCTCTTCCAAATGTCTTCATTTCATGCAATATGCATAAGAACAAATAAAATATTTATTCAAGCACAGGAAACAAATAACTTACCTGGTAAATTTTCTGTAAACGAAGTCTTGCAAAGTGTGTTAATAAATAACAGTTGGTGATGCGATGAACTGAAGCATTTTCCTAACGCAATGCACGCCATACTGACTGCAATAGATGCAACCCAGTGTCCACTGTTGACGAACGTAGCCTCCAAATCTTCACATGCCATAATGGATGGCTGGAAATAGCAAATAGTCATCATGAGATGATGTGCCGGACCACAGACTGATCCACGCTATATAGTCTATGTGCATAGCAACAAAAAACAAATTTTGGTATTATACATCACTGTCAAATCATTCTCTATCCCTGTATTAAAGTAAAATCCCTAAAGCAGTATTAGTCTAGTTAATCAGCCACTGTTACCTAAAAGTATAAATTCCAAGATGACACAAGACTAATAAAACACTGATACTTGTAACTTTACTCTTCACCATTGAACTCAGAAATGGGTATGCTCCATTGCCAATGCAGCAATCACACCTAATACACGCTCCAGTTACCTTCTTATATCTTATCAAAACTAAAAACAGACTGAGGTATAGAAAAGAAAATCCAATGTAAAATCAAGAAATCCAAATACAGGTTTGTCTAACTACAATACTGAACCCTGTTTTTCCCTCCACCCCCAAAGAAATAAATTAATTTTGGAAAAACGTGGTTGTAAATCTTGTACAATGCAGAGAGACTTACATTTATCTTCATGTTGCACCAACCAGCTTTGAACGCTTTCATACTCTCAGTGCTCCCCTTAAAATTCTTCTTTGCAACACATTCCATTAAAAATTCAGTAAAAGCACATAATGGGTTCTCCTGAAAACACACGTAACTGTTGTTACTCTGCGTATTATAGAAGTTAAAAGTCACGCAATTTGCGATACATTTATTACCCAGGAAGCTAATGCATATGTGAGCTCATCACAAGTGTAAGAAAGGTGAAGTAAGAGAAAGACATGTAAAGTCCTGATAATGCTTAGATTATTTAATGACTCTTTAACAGAAGTAATTAAATATAAAAGGTAAAGATAAAATTGCCCTTGCTTTCGCACAACACCATGACGATGTTGTGGGAGTGGAGTTACAGCTCCATATATTAATCTCAGAACAAGACGGATGTGAAGGGTAAGTCTCACGCTATAGCCACTTTACCCCACATGAAAGAGACCCTCATATCCATTAATAGGAAAATGGATGGCAATCAGAGCAACTTCAGATGTAGTGACAAGAAAAGTCCCTGCCTGGGCCACAAACCAAACCGCAGTGGTCCAGTCTGCAACCAGTTGCTACACTAACTTGAGTTATTGCAGCCTATATCATGTAGTTAGCTACAATATCTTAAAATTCCATAAAAGCAGGGAATTTCCCCCCGAAGATCTATCAACAAGATGACAACGCTGTTGTCCTGGGCCATGATACCATGCAGACTCATAGGTAGATCTACCTACAAGTCCATACAGTGTCACAACCCTGGAGAACATCATCGTCACTGCTATGAGAACATTAAATCTCACGTTTGTCAATTATAAAAGTCCGATCCTGAGCCACTAACTTTGTCAGTCATTAAAATACTTAATGAACAACAAATATACTTTGTTTACTTACAGGCAAAAAGATGCTGAAACCTCTTGCAAGTGTCGTTATGTAACCTGTGGAAACAATTTCCTTAAGGAGTGACTCCACTTGTTGCACAGGCCAAACATTTTGTTGCAATGCAGAGCAAAGTTTTGATTTTAAATTTGCTGATATACAACTGCCTAAGGAAGTTATGAGCCATGTACAGAAGCAAGCCAAAACTGATGAAGGCTGTAACATTTGTAAAATTATAATTATTAGCAGTATATTATTCTGGAGTTCACAGGTACGGATGACGCAACCACGGCTCGCCACAGACCAGCTACGGCCACCGGACCATCGGATCAATAGCTAAGTGCAGATGACATGACGACTATGAATAAATAGGAAGGGCACTAAAGGAAGCAGTCATAAATTATTAGACACGCAAAAGGTTCATAGCTCAAAAACAGCATACTGAGAACTTGTTATGAAGACCCTATTTAACTTTTAAGGTGAAGCTACAGAAATACAACGCCATATTGGAAATTTTAAAAATAAGAAAAGGGCTGTAACCTGTAAAGGTGACTTTTCCCTTACCTCATAACACGTCGCAAAAATAGCAAACAGTGGATTCCGAAGAGTATGGCAAGCAGTTAATAAAGCTCGTGGTGGATCCTGACTTCTGTGGCAACTCAGGAGAGTGCAAAACACATCATTACTGTCCTCATAGCTTGTCAATTCTGAAATGGTAACAGCGTGCAGACTAGACTGGTATGAGTCTTCACTTGAACTACTGCTGACATGCATTGCACCCTCTGTTCCTTGGGTTGGAGACTCGCTCAATGATTCCTACAATGATAAAATGTATGGCATAAACACAATATGTGGTGGGCCAAGACATAGCTCAGGCAGTCACCAGCTGCTCACAGCGAAGGGCAAAAGGTTCATGACCAGGTTAGTCAATGTGGGATTTGTGGTGGTGTTTCTCTCTGGGTCCTTGGTTTTCCTGTCAGCATCGTTTCACTGGTACTCTATATTCACTCATGTATCATCTGGAGATGGACAATGGGCCTGTTAGCGGCCACAGTTCCAGAGGCATAGTATAGTCTCAATTCATCATTACAACAATAAAGCAGGTCACATGCTACTTACATTCAATGTCAATTTCTTATGGCTAAATTAACAACTTTTAATTCCTTTATAACAGATTCTCTTCAGAAACACCCATATATTTAATCCAGAAGTTTATAGGTTTCTTACCTTTGTCAAGCCTGCAGTGAGTCAGTTTACTGACAGACATATTGTAGAATTTATAACAAACAGAACTTACACTGCCTGCCTCTCCTTTCTGAAATCCTATTGTTGAATACAGAACTTTTCGTGAATCCCTTGCCATCAGTTTACTTCTGTCCTTAGTTCCCACATGTTCCTGTTTCACAGCCATTTTGTGACTCAATGCATGTGACAGATGTTCCTGAAGATGACTCGAATGAAATTCTTTGACAAGTAACAGTACCTAGAAAATGTCAAAGATTGCAACCAAATTACCACTCAGTTGTTTTAGGCTACCCTGAAATAATAATGGAGACAAACCTATCATTTAACACCATAAAAAGTATGAACTTCAATCTACTCGTAACATGTTACAAGCATTACATTTGATATTAAGGAGGTTATGAAAATGTAAGTGGCCCAGAGATGTGTCCAATGATTAACTCTGGTATTAGCAGTGTTTGGCGTTTTGTTTCCATCAGTTAATTAGGTTCTTCCTATGATTTTAGATAAATACTACTGAATCTCTACTATGAAAACCAACAACTGAACTAACCTGATCAACAGGATACTGGTGAATTTGGATGAACAAAACAAATGGAAGCCACAAATCTGCTCTTGCGCAATGCCTTAAAAACTGTTCTGGTAACTTTGCCTGGTGTAACTTGGCAAACTTGACAGCCAAATCCCAATGCAGAAATTGTTTCACAGTGGAATCATCAGAAGAGTGACTATGAAGAAGTGCAGTTTCTAATAGAAGCAGAATTTCTGTCGCTATCTGCTCCTTTGAAACTACCAGCCCATGCATCAACATACCTAGAGCAGAAAACTATAATAACCAAATAAAATCTATAACAACATTTATGTCATTCTGTAAGTAAAGATGTTCTGAATTTGAAAATTTATTTTAGTTATTTAAAAGAGATGAAAACTGTTGAAAGATGATAATAACATCATTAAATGTTTCTGTAACCATGACGTTTTATAAACCATGCTCCCACTCTGAAAAGCATAAATACACACAAACCTGCAATTTTAATTTTAGTTGTCTATTCTCTTGCTTATGAACAATATTTTGTTGATGTTGTTGAAAGCAGAAGAAACACTACAAGTTAGTAAAACTAAGATTACAATGGAATGGACACACGTTATGCATCGGCAAAAAGAGGGCCTTTTTCACAACAAGGCTCCAGAAAAACTACATAAAATCTATTAGCCACTTAAAAAATACATTTTAATAAACATTCAAATGGGAATAAAAATGAAAAAACCAACAGTGTTCGTAAACCCATTACAAGTGGCAAGGATATTTCTGGAGCCTTCTATGATTATTTGTAAAAAGCAGAGTCCTCCTTTAGCAGCTGCTAAAGAAATTCCATTTCTTCTATGGAATCAGAAGGCATGTTCACAACAGCCCACCCGTGAACCCCATCCTGAACCAGATAAATAGAATCTACATCATCACACTATTTATTTACAATCCACCAGCCAGCAACAAACATGAAAATGTTGAATAAACGATGACTGTGAAGAAACTCAATAAATATCACAACACTGGAATGGTGAAGTGAAGAAAATTATAAAAGGAAGACATCAATTGCTTCATGACTCAATCCTTATGGCAATTAATGTGACCTAGCCTAATGCAACTCCTGTTCCTGTTCTTGAATATGTTTCTACTACATGCCCATTATAACAACCCAAAACAATTCAAGCTTACCAACTTGTTCTTCATGAAGCTGTTCCTTGCCAGTACTGTGAGAGACAGAAGAGTTTAGGTAATTCAGGATCTTGTTTGCTGCAGCCACGTGAATCCTCACATTTCCTGAATCTACGCCCAGCATTTCAATAAATGATATGCAGGCACAAGTAATGCTTTGATTTGCAAAACGTTTTAATGCCAAGCCATGGGCAAAGTTACATGCCTGTTTCTTCCTGGTAAATGACAGCAGATTTAATAAAACTGTTCAAAATGGAATTTCAACAACACAGACAATATCATTAAACACTGATACTCACATTTTTCTGGATATCTTTCTATGTAATCTCAGCTGATCTACAATAAACACATTTACTGCAATGCTAGGCCGCCCTTGTTTCAAGTAATACATGTAACTTAAAGTTACATTGTGTCCATATTTTGCAGACAGTTTTTCAGAAGAAAAGTGAGGAAATTCTTCATCCTTTATTCTGAAATCACATTCAATAATTCTGTTAAGCATTCATGTTAGAAAAAGGGAAAAATTGTAAGTTAATTTAACAGTTCATTAACACATACCTTAAAATCAAAAATGTGTCTTGAAACACACAAGTCTCAAAATATCATAAATTAAGTGAGAACAATTTGTAGATCATCTGTCTTGTTTTTCTGTATGAAACATTGTCTCACACTGCATTACATCACTCTACATGAAGCCTAGGCATGAATATTATAATATTAAAAACGTATCTTAGAAAAACTGGCTGCAAAGATGTAAAATGTACTGAATTTGTTAAACATAAAGCTCTAATGACAAGCTTTGTCACAGTTAAAAACTTGACTGTTCACACGCCTTTCATTATGGGAGTATACAAAATTTGCATTTCAAAAGGTTAGTAAAGACAAAGATCTTAAAACCTTGCATACTGTAAAAGGCATTAGTGTCCTTCAAAGTGTAAACAGTTTTGTTTGTATACATGCTTTATAAAGACAAAGATACAAAATATAAATTCCCGTCTTCATGATACATACATGTGTGTGCTCTGCCAACCAAACAGCTTTGAAATGTCAAATGGTGAGCAGCCCTGGAGCAGCTGATACACCGTCACATCTGGTCGGGTATTATAATCACTCTGTTGTGACGATAGAGCCACTTTCAAGACAGGAAAATGTCTTAGGACAGAATGAACGGAATCACTGTCGATTGGAAGATCCGCTGAAATTTTCTTTTCGACCACATCCTTTATCATATTGTTTCCATAAACAATTGTTGCCAAAGTCACAAGAGGATGTTCTTGAAGGTATGAATCAGTATTACCTTTACTCAAAAAATGAGTCGCACTTAACACTGCTTGGTGCACAATGGATTCATCAGATAAATTGCCATCCAGCTGTTTCATAGTCAACCATAACCTCAACAAGTCCTTTTCTTCTTGCTTACTTAGTGACAAAGAGCAGAGGGAATCAATCCTATCACTTGAAAAATCAGAGTTTTGGAAACAAGGAAAAATTACATTAAACAGTTTGTGTTTAATGCAAAAACTGATAAACAAATCTTCAAAATTGCAGTATGATACACTGGACAACGGCTGATTTAAAATTTGTTCAATATCATTAAGGGATTTTGTTCTGCAGAATCTTGTAAGAATAGTGCATGGATTTGCTCTCTCACTGCTGCTGAACACTCCAAACCTGTAAAATACGTAATATTAGTTCAAACAAAATTTCATAATATAATTTCACACATAAAGCGAAGACAAACTCTCTAAAATGTTAACGTTTGCCAGAACCCTGATGACGGGGACAGAGATTGTCCCTGAAACATTGGTTTTGTCTTTTAACCATTTAATGCAGCTGATCACCCGAGAAGATTTTATTGAGTTACATCACTGCAAAAGCTTCAAATCATATAAAATTTAACATGATTCCTTCCAGTGGTTCATTTGAAAGCTAAATAATGAGTTCTTAAGGCCGTCACAATGTTACCTTACATTCTAAAACTAATTCCAAAGAAAAAAGCCATGTGATATAATAATATACCAAGTTTTGTGAAAAATAATTCACTGGTCCAAATATTATTCGGATAAATAGATTGACAGACATGTAAACATGATTTCATATGCCTATAGTTTGTTTTATAGAAAATCATACAAAAATTAAGTTAAAATAAAATAAAAATAAAACTCTCACCTACTTAAGTGGTCCAATACCACTTCTTTGGTTCTTGTCATAGAACACACAACATGAATACTGTCTATCATAGACTGTGTTACATCCCACTCTGAAAATAACTTTTGTATCTGCATTTCTTCGGTGCCTTCAGCATTTGGTTGCTTCTTTGTGCATGACCGGTCACTGATTCTGGTAATTATGTCTATACATCCTTCAAATCTACTGTAGTAAGTGTTGATCCAAGTTATCAGAATATCTTCTCTGTTATTAGAAAGCAAATATTTCCAGGCTATGTTTGGTTCAATAAATGTTTTCAGTCTGTCATCTGTTAAACATAAAAAAATCAATATCTTGTGAATACCAAATAAAGATTATCGGTATCAATATTGTACGGATCTATGTGCCACTAACAATAATTATGGACCAGGATGCAAATTGAAAATGGATTGGAAATAAATTAATTTTAGGCAGTGGTTATACACTACACATTATTTTCATGTACACTTGACACTATAACAAAATACATTCTTAAACACTTATCTCTGCTCATCTCACTAAAAATATGGAATTTATATTTGACGGAAAAAGTTCTGTACATGGTACAGAAAGAGATGTAAACCTTTCTTTGAACAATTAATGAAAAAGTGAAAGGTTTCCACAGACCACAACAGCTACAATGTTCGATGACATAGAAGGACTTCAACAGACAATGCAGCTCAAACTGAAAAGCCAATCTTCTACACCCAACATACAATAATCATCACTGCTGTTTCACGGTCCTGAGGTGCATTTGAATCTTGAACCAAAGATTGGTTATCCTGAGTATCTTCATGGGCACAATTTCTCCATGCAAATACTGGGATATTACCTTAAACTGGACAATAACCACTTCTTTCCACATCCTATCCAATTCATTCTTCATAACCTCCTACCATTCAATTCCCTGTAACTAACGGAGTTAAAAAATGAACTATGTAGCCAAGTGAACTAACTCACCTAAGGTATTAAAGTACAGTTCCACTAATACCGTAACTCTCCAGTCTCTCGATTGTTGTGTGATTGTGCTAATAGATAAATTATCAGAGTTCTCAGATATCTCTGGCATATCATATGGTTGAATATGTCTCTGACGTGAAGGTACTGCTCTGACAGGAAAACTGTGAAAGAAGACAAGTCTGCTGAAGTGTTGTCTGAGCTTCATTCATATTAAGTACGATTTTTTATTATTATTTATTATTGACTGCAAATGGGTTTTTACCCGGTGGCAGTAGTCCTACAATAAGACACAACAAAACAATGAGGTTCTCATGGCTGCCTTCCAGATTGTAGCACGGTTTACCAACATTTCAGTAGTCCTTGCTGCCTCCATCACCAGGGTGATGAGTTAACAATGCGTAAAAATCGGTTTTGAGATATAGGAACTAGTCAGTCAAGACAGAACTTTAACTGGACCAGTGGGTTCTGTCTTGCCTGACATAGGTACTCTTCTACCAGACCACATAGTGCTATGACCCAGAAGACAGTCATCTTCATTCAATTATCCACACATCAAAAAGCCCATACCCATTCAAACCACGTTTCATTCATATTTGCTACACACCATAATTCTAAAAAAGTCTAATAATTTTGTTCCAGGTGCCATTACTAATATTCTCACTATTTTTGTCACCTTTTCTCTACTGTATTTATAGTAATAGAAGCTTGCCCCTGACATCATCTCAGAGCCATCTACAGTAGAATTAGATACTATAAATGCTGTTAGCAGTCACCTATTTGCAGAATAAGGCACTGTTACTGGAACAGCCATCTACCAACAGACAATTTGTATTACCATGGTCTCACACAGCATGACAACATTTTTATTTCATGGAGATATTATAAGCCACCATTTCCTATAAAATATGGGTCTTCAATTTTCACAGCAATGAATAAGAGGACTGCATCTTCTGAATTATAAAATTGTGTAGAGCAGCACGCAGTCACCGATGTTTGGTTCTAGCCAACCCCAGGACGGGAAGGATGCCATAAATGAAACTTGAAAAAACACATTTATATAATAAGAGAACAAAAATTAAAGCTTGTTAATAAATACTTGTGAAACAACACTGTTCAATTTTATGAACTGTCAATAACTCAATAAGTCACAGAAATTATATGGCAGAAACTGAAAATTGACAGTCTGATGCAAGCTGCAGCATTAAAAAGTTGCAAAAAAAGACACTGTTGATTAGCTCAAGTAATAACTCACCTGATATTAGGAATACATTTAGAATGAAGTATTTCTTCCATTAACTTTAACATATCCCAAGCTTCTAACTCATCTGAGGTAAACAGATCTCTGCCAGCAAGGTACACAGCCAAATTATCACGCAGTTCCTTATCAAATGATTTCAAACAGATATCTCTTAGTTCTTTGTATGGTTCACAGCCCTGTTGTAACAAAAGACCATGTTAATTTAATTACATATTCAACAAACTATAATTATTTTTCAATGTCCTCTCAAGTGATCAGACACAGTGATGAAGAGGTTTTATTGGACCATATAAACTACTGAGTTCTTAAAATTATCCTACTGATCAGTGTCTCTAAATTTTCATCTGCCCACAAACCCCCACTCCTGTAAATCTGAATAAGTAAATCTTAAAATATATAATATAATTCAGGTCTATACACAAACTTTACTTACAGATGTTAAAATTTAAAATTTGCGCTATTCATCGTTACTACGATGTTACAATACTGCGCCTTCATTACTACATGTTTCGATGGGTAGCATCATCTTCAGGTTTTTCCTTTAAAACTACTTTATATTTCAATGCAAGTTTTTCATTTATTCATCTGTTTTGTAAATTATTATAGTATGTGTTCTGTTGATCTTCTTATTTTATGCATCTTATGTTTTGTTTTCCATTATATAATATATATATAATAATGGAAAACAAAACATAAATGAATAAATGAAAAACTTGCATTGAAATATAAAGTAGTTTTAAAGGAAAAACCTGAAGATGATGCTACGCATCGAAACATGTAGTAATGAAGGCGCAGTATTGTAACATCGTAGTAACGATGAATAGCGCAAATTTTAAATTTTAACATCTGTAAGTAAAGTTTGTGTATAGACCTGA